CCACTCCAGGGGAAGGATACTGCAAAATCCCCATTCCCTCCCCACTCCAGGGGAAGGATACTGCAAAATCCCCATTCCCTCCCCACTCCAGGGGAAGGATACTTCAAAATCCCCACTCCAGGGGAAGGATACTTCAAAATCCCCATTCTCCCGCACTCCTGGGGGAAGGATACTTCAAAATCCCCACTCCAGGGGAAGGATACTTCAAAATCCCCATTCTCCCCCACTCCTGGGGGAAGGATACTTCAAAATCCCTATTCCTTCCCCACTCTTGGGGGAAGGATACTGCAAAATCCCCATTCCCTCCCTACTCCAGGGGAAGGATACTGCAAAATCCACATTCCCTCCTGATCAGCTGGAGGCAGAGAATAGATGGAGGCGGAGCCAGTCAGAAGTAGCATTTACCGGTTCTCCGAACTACTCAAAATTTCCGCTACCGGTTCTCCAGAAGTGGTCTGATCCTGCTGAATACCACACCTCTGACCTTCACCTTCAAATGCCTCTGTCTCAATTGGCAGTAAATAAATAAGCTGGTGCAACAGGTTTCTTTCAACAGCAATGTTTTTGCCAGCCGGGCCCTGGGAAGATCTAAGCGGCAGATGAAACTGCCTGCGAGATACGTCCCCCTTTCTCTCCTCTACCCTAGCGCACGCTTTAATTAAAAAAAACATAAACGGCTTATCAAAAGCTAATTAATAAGAAGCAACGTGTTGGCAAGTGGCGCTGGGAAGCCCAAGCAGCGTAAACAGGCGTTTATAACCCTGGAACGGAGGGCAGCCGAAGCCACAGATGGTGGGAGTTTAATGGGACGTGGAGAGGAATCGCTCTGGAAGAAAAGGAATCGGGGAACGCACAAAAAGGTAGAGAGAGAAGGATGAAGCCATGCCCGATGAGGAGTGGAGACCGCGCTCGGTCCAAAGGAAAACCACGTTTTGGGGGGGCCAGGAGGAAGGATCCGGTATGAAACAGCAGAGATAAGAGATGGATCTCTGCGTTTTTTTTTCTATCCAGTTCTCTGCCACTTTGCAGCAATGTTGGAGAAAAACACTGGATGGGACTTGTAGGATTTCGGATTGGATGGTTACGATGAAGGTTTTCTCCAGCTGGTTATGGAGAAGTCAGAAGAACAAGGTGGCTGAAGAATGACCAGTATTTGGGGGTGATGCGAGCACTAAGACACCCCAAAGTGGCCTTAAAAGTGAAACGTTGATTTGATACTTGGATTTGAACGGCAGCAAGGAGGAGGAGGAGGAAGAAGAGGAGGAGTGGTGAGGGGGCCTTGGGGCTCTTTGAACTTGGTGGTTTTCTTACAGAGTTTCATTGTCTAACTAGGTAACATCATTGGTAGAAGGGAAGGGGATTTTGCAGCGAGGAGAAGGAGGAGGAGGAGAAAAAGGAGGAGAAGAAGATGAAGAGGAGGAGGAAGAGATGGAGGAGGAGAAGAAGAGGAAGAGGAGAAGAGGAGGAGATGAAGAGGAGGAGGAGAGGAGGAGGAGAAGAGGAGGAGAAGAACAAGAGGAGGAAGAGGAGAAGAAAAGGAGAAGAGGAGGAGGAGGAGGAGAGGAGGGAGAGGAGGCGAAGAAGAAGAGGAGAAGAAGGAGGAAGAGGAGAAGGAGGAGGAGGAGAAGGAGGAAGAGGAGGAAGAGAAGAGGAGATGAAGAAAAAGAGAAGAGAAGGAGGAGGAGGGAGAGAAGGCGAAGAAGAAGAGGAGGTGGAGGAAGAGGAGGAGGAGAGGAGGAGGAGAGGAGGAGAAGAGGAAGAGGAGGAGGAGAAGAGGAGGGAGATGAAGAAAAGCAGGAGAAGAGAAGGAGGAGGGGAGGGAGAGGAGGCGAAGAAGAAGAGGAGGAAGAAGAGGAGGAGGAGGAGGAAGAGGAGGAGGAGGAGAGGAGAAGAGGAGGAAGAGGAGGAGGAGGAGCAGCAGCAGGAAGAGATGAGGAGGAGCAGGAGAGGGGGAAGAGGGACAATGATTGTTGGTCTTTGGTGCTCTCTAAGCTTGGTGGTTTTCTTACAGACATTTCATTACCCAACTAGATAACATCATCCATGTTGAAGGATGTGGGGCTTGCAGAGGAGAGGAAGAGGGGAAAGAAACTCTGGACATTTTGGATCCGTGAATCAACCCGCTCAGATGACCCCACATTCCAAGGGGCGCAGAAAGGAAGGATTGAAAAGAAAGCAGATTAAAAAAACAACAATAAGTATCGTGCCTGAATGACGGGGCTGCCTCCAAAGACGCTGGACACGCACCCAAGGTGCGGCTGGCGCGGAGACCTACCAACTCCGGACTGTCGGGTGGGGGATCGGAGTCAGCCGAACGCAAAGGTGAGTCTTGTTTTGACTATTTTTTTTTTAATCCACCCGAAGCTGACAAAAGCAGGAGGATTAAAACCCAGCTGACAGATTTCGGCAGGAGTAAAACAGCCACCTTCCCCAGGGCTGGGGAGAACTGACAGCCGATCAATAGGAAATTACGCAGCTTTCAAATTCGTTTTCTTTTTTTTTTTCGGGTCTCCCGACTCACATGCCAGACGCCGCCTGTTGAAAGCCAATTAACGTTAAGTATTTTGGGTGTCTGTGGGGACACGACGCGGGCAAACGCTCCGCCTTCCGGGGCAGGAAATTAAAATAGATTTTAAATTAATTAATAGCACCTGGAAACAAAAGTGGGAGTAAAACCTTCCTCCGGAGAGAACTATGGAGGAGTGGGGAGGGGTGGGGAGGACAGACACAAAAACTGGTTCTTCAAGGTGTCAAATTCAGAGGAAGGTAAAGGTTCCCCTTTTGCACATCTGTGCTAGTCGTTCCTGACTCTAGGGGGCGGTGCTCATCTCGGTTTCAAAGCCNTCGCCTGGCAGATGGAATCCGGAGGAGGCCCAATCTGTGCGATCTAATCGGTCGAAGGGAGGTAATCGGCAGAAGGCGGTCTCTCAAGTACCCAGTATCAGAGCCTTCCCCAGACTCCAGGACTGGCCCATGTTCTCCCCCCCAACCTTCTCACTGTCCGAATCTGCCACCAGCTTCACTGGCGGATCACAACAAGAGTTGGAAGGCACCTTTGAGATCTTCTAGTCCACCCACCTGCTCAATCAGGAGATCCTATACCATTCCAGACAAATTGCTGTCCAATCATTCTCTAATACCTCCAGTGATGGAGCACCCACAACTTCTGGAGCCAAGCCGTTCCACTGCTTAATTGTTCTCACTGTCTAGAAATTCCTCATTGCAGTGAGAGAATAATCAGAGGAACGGCTTTTGATTTCCAAACTCAATCGAGACACACTTAAGAGACAGATGTACCTGAGCCTTCAGGCTGACGGCATCGAAGACGGTGACCTGATTGCCACAGCTGGCCCATACGGCATCATCCAAGGTGAGCAGCGTCCGCACGGGGGCCAGCCCAACCGCCAGGATGGTGGGCTCAACGTCGGCGTCCCACAGGCCTCCTGCAACAGGGAAAAGAAAAACGGATAAGACCAAAATCGAAGAATGGGAATTGGAAGGCCACCCTTTCAACGCCCCACAACGTGCAGCGTTTTTGTGACCCCAACCTCACTTTCAGAAGCTAATTTTCGCAGGAACCCCTAACGTTTGCCTGAAGCCTGCTGAGAAGTGAAGAAGTCTAGTGAAGAGAAGGACCAGGGGAGACAGGAGAGCAGTCTTCAAATATTTGAGGGGCTGCCACAGAGAGGAGGAGGGGTGGTGGTCAAGCTATTCTCCAAAGCAACCGAAATCCAGACAAGGAATAATGGATGGAAACTGACCAAGGAGAGATTCAACCTGGAAATAATGAGGGATTTTCTGACAGGGGGAGAAATCAACCGATGGAACCGAAGTTGTGGGAGCTTCATCCCTGGAAGCTTTCAAGAAGACACTGGACAGCCATCTGTCAGAAATGGTGTAGGGTCTCCTGCTTGGGCGGGGGGTTGGACTAGATGACCTTCCAACTCCTGTTCCGTTCTGTTCTATTCTACTCTATAGTCTATGCTACTCTCCATTCTATTCTATTCTATTCTATTCTATTCTACTGTATATTCTATTCTACTTTCTATTCTATTCTATTTTCTATTCTATTCTAATTTACTGTACTCTATATTCTATGCTACTCTCAATTCTATTCTATTCTATTCTACTTTCTATTCTATTCTACTTTCTATTCTACTCTATTCTACTATACTCGATATTCTATTCTATTCTACTGTACTCTATATTCTATTCTACTTTCTATTCTATTCTATTCTATTCTATTCTATTCTATTCTATTGTACTCTATATTCTACTTTCTATTCTATTCTATTCTATTCTACTGTACTCTATATTGTATTCTACATTCTATTCTATTCTATTCTATTCTGATCTATTCCATTCTACTGTACTCTACTCTATATTCTATGCTACTCTCTATTCTATTCTATTTTATTCTATTCTATCCTATTCTGATCTATTCTATTCTATTCTACTGTACTCTACTCTATATTCTATGCTACTCTCCTATCCTATCCTATCCTATCCTATCCTATCCTATCCTATCCTATC